GGGCAATCGACTGTCAACTCCTATTTCTACTTGTTCTTCTCAAAAGCAGCTAGCCACACTGGGCTTTGCAAATGTAAACCAGATTACACCATTCTCCCGATCAAAACCCCACAGGAGCATCCTGTTTCCAGGCAGGCCGGGTTTCTTCCCATCTTCCCCAGCTCACCAGCTGCTGCCACACTGGGCAGAACACTGTTCCCTGAACGTCCGAGTCCGGCTTCTCTCAGTTAAATTAGGTCTCTGCACAGTTGTAACCAACCCCAGGTGACCAATCCCATTTCCTCACCCCACTCCCTCTTCCTCAGCCCTTCACCGTCAGCTTTTCTACGTGGCTCTTTGCTGTGGATGATCTTTCTGTACACTGTGAAAACGCATTCCTCTCTTTGGTTCATGATAAAAACTGTCTGACCGATAGCCAGGCAGGATAAGGCTAGGCGGGACAACCAAACTGAGAACTCATATGAGGAGGGCTAGAGTTGGGGAGATCCCAGCCAGCAGCCAGAGGAGCAAGATGTGCAGGTAAAACCACGAGACAACGTGGCAAAACACAGATTAATAGAAATGGGTTAACGGAAAGGTAAGAGCTGGTTGGTAATAAGCCTGAGCTATTCGGCCAAGCATTTTGTAATTAATACTAAGCCTCTGAGTAATTATTTAAAAGCGGCTTTGGGATGGGGCAGGACAGAGAAACCTCCGTTTACAGCCCTTGTTTGCCTTTTTACTCTGAACAAGAAGCACCCAAGAGCTATCCCAGGTGTACTCTAGAACCTTTAAAAACGTAATCGCTTAAGTATATACAGGTGTATACCTGTAGTCCCATCCACTTGGGAGCTAACGCAGGAGGATGGCTTGACCCCAGGAATTGCAGGGCAGCCTAGGTAACACAACTAAACTGTCTCTAAAGGTAAGTAAATAAATAAGCAAACTGAATGAAAGGAAGAGATGGAGGAAGCCGGGAAAGGAACAGAAAGTTAAAGGGGTCCAAAAATAATATCTCAAAAAGCTACTGATTTTTCTTTTTGAACAAAGTATGACATTAAATGACCTGAACCATCCGACTGAGAAAGTAAAAGTGCATGACCACATTCCTAGAAACAGCAGCCATGGCTCTCTGCCACCCTCACCCTCCGCTCCTTGACTGTCATGCTTGTCTCTCGGGGCCACAGACTTAATGACACAGAATTGTATCTATTTTCTACAGAACCAAACACATGACTTACACACGCTACACTGTAAATGCTGGTTTTGTATTTTCAGTAGACCCAAGAGTATAATATCAATCAAGGACCAACAGGGGCTGAACAGGAATACAAAAGAGGGACACACCAGAAAGTGCTGGAGCTGAGGTAAGAATGTGCATTCCACCAGGAGGTGATGGCGCATGCCTTTAATCCCTCAGGAAGCAGAGGCAGGCAGATCTCTGTAAATTCAAGGCCAGCCTGGTCTACAGAGTTCCAGGACAGCCATAGCTACACTGAGAAACTCTGTCTCAAAAAAAAAAAAAAAAAAAAAAAAATCAGTAGACCCTAAACAGAAAAATGTAATATTACAGGCTCAGAAGTTAAGAGCACTGGCTACTCTTCCAGAGGTCCTGAGTTCAATTCCCACCATATGGTGGCTCACAACCATCTGCAGTGAGCTCTGGTGCCCTAGTCTGTCATGGAGGCAGAACACTATAGATAAATAAATCTTTAAAAACATAAATAATAAATCAATCTTTAAAAAAAATCTTTTAAATTAAGACTTAAATAAGTCTTTTAAATGAATCTTAAAAAAAAAAAAAAGACAAAGCTTTAAGATGAAAACAAAAAACCAAGACCATCATTCAAAATACAAAATTCAAAATTCAAAATTTCTGGAAGCTGCCCCTGACCAACCTCACGAATCCAATCACTGTGAAGACAGCTGCCAGGTCTCTAGAAACTCCTCAGGCTGCCTGACCACCTTAAACATCATCCACAGAAAAAAGCCAAGTTACATTGCTGACAGCAATACATGTTCCAGGGTAATGAAAACTGAGTCTGGAGACGCAGCATTTTTATATTGTTTTCAATTCTGAATTCCAAACAGACTTGTAAACACCCAGGAACCACTGTTCACCTATGCCCACCAATTGTTATCATTTTCCTTGGCTTCTTTACCACTCTCTTTCTGTTATCCTTGGTCCTCCAGAATATACTGTCCTCTTATGGAGACATTCATTTACAGTCACAGACCAATTCCCAAAACCAGGAAATCCAGTGCAGCCCACTAGTCTCCTAACCTCAAATGGAGCCAGCTGCCTCCAAACATTACTCAGCGGCCTTGTTTTCTGCCTCCAAGGCCACACTGCAGGTTTGTCTGCGACTTGTAGAGGAAGTTTCTGTCCCGCCTGGTACCACAGTCATTTTAGTCCCAAATAACACACAAAGGCTTATATTGATTATAAACTGTTGGACCTGTAGTTCAGGCTTCTTATTGGCTAGCTCTCTCTTAATTATTAACCCATAATTATTATTCTATGTATTTCCACATGGTCTTGGCTTACCGGCGAAGCTCGGTCCCCTTTCTTCCTTGGCAGCTACATGTCATCTCTCTGGTGACTCACTCCCTGGGTGTCCCTCTTTCCAGTCTTCTCCTAGTCTGGTAGCCCCACCTATCTTTCTGCCTGGCTACTGGCCAATCAGCATTTATTCATCAACCAATAAGAGAAACATATGTTCACAGCATACAGAAGGGCATGCCCTACCAGCAACTGGTTCCCCAACCTGTAATTGTGACATGGGCCCTCTCTGCAAGAAAGCATAGTGTGTTTTATAAGGTCCTCCCCTGGGCTCTGCCCAGTGTTTCCACACAACGGGATTGAACGTTACACATTTTTGCAGAAATGTATTTTCTCCTCCATACATCACACCGGAAGTCCCATTGCTAGAGACACACACTTTGGTCATTTAGTTAAGAAGGTAACGTCACCCACGTCTCACCCTTTTGATCATTAAATGACTTGTGGGAAGGTTCCCCATACAACTGCTGCCCTACTTTGGTACCCACTGAGAATCTCTGCTTGAATCACTTGGTACTATGAAGGCTGCAACATGCTCCTCATGGCTTCCACTCCTGACAATTCCCTGGCTGGCATCAGTCAGGAATGCTCCCTGCAGTCTGCGTATTTACTCATCTACCCGTAGGGTTACATTGCAGTCGGCTTTCACATTTAGTCAGATGTGGTGGTAAGTGGGAGCCCCTTCCAGCTCACTCCTCTGTCCTTCAGAGAGGTCCATTTGTCTCAGTACTTCCTTGCCTTGGGGACAAGATGTTCCAGTTTTATGCTTTCCCTACAAGACTCTGGAGGGAACCAGCGCTTTTCTAAAGTGCTGGGGCTATTTAGCAAGAGGTGGTTTTTAGCAAACATGATTTCTAGAAAAGCCTGTATCACTGCTGCTGAGCCATCTAAAGTAGGACACACATTTTTGTAAGCTGTAGTTTTGAAAATCATATCCAGTAAGAAAAGCAATACATAAAATGTATGTTGTTTTCACTATTGCATTTGAACAACCCCAGTAACAGAAACACCATGCCAATATACATACATACATACATACATATATACATACATACATACATACATATATACATACATACATACATACATGGGTTTGATTTGGTTTTTTATCTTTTGGGGCGCTGTCTCAGTTTTGGAGAGGAGGGTTGTTGTATCAGGTTTTTATTTGCTTGAGAACGAACTTAAATTCAGATGGGTAGGAAGGGGGGAGATGATCTGGAAGAACTTGGGGGAGGGAAAAATATGATCAAAATGTATTTAAATTTAAAAATTGTTTTAAATAATAAAAAATATAATAAAGAAAACACTACATAAGACACTGAATGAAGGGTCAATTTTTCCTTTTATACTGAGTAAAATTTTATTACACAGCAAGCTATTTATATAAATCTCTCAATTTCATAAATCAAAACACAAGTAAAACTGTAACTTAATCATTTCAGGTTTATAAGTCACCAGACTTTTTGGTGGTGAGAGTAAGAGGAGCTAGGCAAAGCCAAGAATAATTTTTTTTTTTTTTTTTTTTTTTTTTTTTTTTTGAGACAGGGTTTCCCTGTGGCTTTGGAGGCTGTCCTGGAACTAGCTCTTGTAGAATAGGCTGGCCTCGAACTCCCCAGTGCTGGGATTAAAGGCGTGCACCACCAACGCCCGGCAAGAACAAATTCTTCTGCCTTCCTTCACCACCATTAAGAATGACTGGGCATCATGACCAAAAGAAGTCCATAGTGTGTGACTTTAAAGAGAGTGAAGAGGGCTGTGCTGGGAACGTGGGTGAAAGGATTAGGTGCAGACACAGCACAGCACACCTGCTTCAGGCAGCCATCGCAGGCGCATGCAGAGCACCCCAAGTCTGCTCATTTGCTCTGCAGCTGCTTCCAAAGCCTGCAGCCAGACTCCGAGGGTTTGAGTTAGCCAGCATTTGCCAAACACCTGCACTATCCCCAAAGCTAAGTGTCCCTCCAAATACATCTCCAGCTCTTTCCCACCCTGTATAGACCGCACAGGGCCATCCTCCTGGCATAGTCCTCAGGGTGCCTCCCCATGAAGAGATCCAGTCACACAGTGTTGGCAGAGCACTCGGCCCTGTTAACGCACCGTTGCAGCACACTCGAGAATCCCAGCACTGGCGCCTAACACAGCAGAAGTTACAGTCTTTCATGTCTCTCATTTCACTAAAAGTTCTCATATACTTAGTCTGTTTCCTGCTGTCCATAAGAATCCCAGCGTCTTGAACATTAAAAAAGGAAAGAAAGAAAAACGAAACTCTAACATAGTTGTTACCGAGTATCTCCCTTTAACTGTAAGCATCTTGAGGTCAGGGACTGTTTTAAACCCATCACTGTATCCTCTACTCCTATAATCCTAATAGGTTCCCGATAAGCAATGCTGAATAAATGAAATTAAGAAGCAGAGCACTGAATGAGAGTATGAGTTCATGAGCAACATAACAAGTCCTTACCTGGTAACTAACTGCCTTCTTTCCATCACTTCCAGTATGAGGTAAGGTTAAGGGTCCCGACACTATCCAAACATCTTCAAATCTCTCCGTCAGCTCACGACAATACATTTCTATTCTGAAAAAAAAAAAATCAAAATATGTTCTGTGTTCATAGGCACACATGTAAGAAGGCAGCAAGCCACCCAGTCCCTAGGAAAGACACCAAGACATCTCATTTAAGAAATTAACTTAGGGACACCCATAGTGGCACAACTTTAATCCCAGCACCAAGGAGGCAGAAGCAGTTGGATCTCTATGAGTTCAAGGTTAATCTGATCTACAAAGAGTTCCAGAACAGTCAAGGCTACACAGTAAGATCCTGTCTAAAAAAAAAAAAAGTTAAAGCCAGGAGGTGGTGGTACACATCTTTAATCCCAGCACGCAGGAAGCAGAGGCAGGGGGGTCTCTGAGTTCAAGACCAGCAGGGGCCACAGAGTGAGGTCCAGGGCAGCCAAAGTTACACAGAGAAACTCTGGCTTGGAAAAAAAAAAAAAAGTTAAAGCCAGGAGGTGGTGGTACACATCTTTAATCCCAGCCCTCAGGAAGCAGAGGCAGGTGGATCTCTGAGTTCAAGACCAGCAGGGTCCACAGAGTGAGTTCCAGGACAGCCAAAGTTACACAGAAAAACTCTGTCTTGGAAAAAAAAAAAAATTAAAGCAGTCTTTTGAACCTCAAACATACATATATACACATATATACATACATACATATATACATGCATACACATATACATACATACATATATACACATATACATACACACACACATACATACAGACTGACATATACATACACGCATACATACATACATACAGACAGACTGACATATACATACATACACATATAAATACATACATATATACATACAGACAGACCGACAGGCATACATACATACATACATGCATACATACATACATATATACATACATACATCTCAGATTGAGCATGATGGTGATGTTCACCTTTCATCCCAGCACTCTTTTGTTTTGTTTTGTTTTTTGTTTTTTGTTTTTCGAGACAGGGTTTCTCTGTGTAGCTTTGGAGCCTATCCTGGCACTCACTCTGGATACCAGGCTGGCCTCGAACTCACAGAGGATCTGCCTGCCTCTGCCTCAAGAGTGCTGGGATGAAGCCGGGCATTGGTGGCACACACCTTTAATCCCAGCACTCGGGAGGCAGAGGCAGGAGGATCTGTATAAGTCACAGACCAGTCTTGTCTACATTATGAATTCCAGGCCAGCCAAAGCTACACAGTATCAAGACTGTAGCTCTGCAAGCTCATCCCATCTGATGCTGAAGGTAAGATTTACACTGAGATGTCTTTCAGTCTCCTAGACCTACCTGTAAGAGTCAAAAGCTAACTGCAATTCCCTAAGTCATGGCTATTTCTAGAACACATATCATGAAAGACTGCTGGAACCAAACAACCATTGGTCCCTTGTCACCAGAAGGTATCTTTCCTAAAAGGCTAAAGATACTAGGAACAATGAACTCTTAGGTTCTGGCTGCCCCATGCAGAAGCTACCTCCAGCAGAAACTATCTGCACAGCACAGTGCTAGGGACAGAGATGGAGGTCACAAGACAGCCATCAACATGGCAGTGACAGGCACTTTTTAGACCACACTTGGCCGAGCTCTAAAGGAGGTGGCGACCCTTGCTGCTGTTCGTTCCTCTCCGCTCCTTTGCAAGTGCAGGTCCTCATTACAAGGTGAAGTTCTCCTCCCTACAAACATCTCCCTCAGCAAGAGAAAACACAAAAGGCTCCCGTAGGTATACAATCAGAAATACAACCTGGGAAGGGGTAAGAACACATCAGACCTTTAGCAAGTTGTAAGGAAAAGCTTCACAAGGGAGTGAAAAGATCCACGAGTTAAATCTAAACCTTAAGTTGGATCCCAACAGCAATGAGACACTGGGGGTGGGGTGGGGTGGGGGGATGAACACTGTAAAGCTGGTACTAAGGAGTTACTGTTAATTTTTTTTTAAAGTGCAATAGTATTGTGGGTTACATTTTAAAACAATTCTTTTCTCCTAAAAATATAATTTATGATGTCATATACTATCACCTGAGCAGGTGGTAGGGGTTAGGACACAGAAATGAGACAAGTGAGCCATGACTGGTGACTACAGAAAGGAATCTACAGATTCCTTTCATGGTTTTTATATGTCTGTGTTTGCCCAAAAGCACAGGGGTGCAGGTGCCACAGAAGCCAGGAGAGGTGTTAGAACCCCTGGAGCTTGAATTACAGGCGGCTGTGGGCTAGCTGGTGCTAGCTGGTACGGAGGCTGAGAACCAGAGCAACACGAGCTCTTAACCACTGACCCGCCTCTCTGGCCCCTGGACTTTTAAGTATAGAGCATTTTCTTAATGTTTGTTTTTAAAAATTTATCTTTTTATGTGTGTGTGTTACCTGCATGCATGCAAGTGTATGTGTGAGAACCTGAAGAGGACATTGGGCTCCACAGAACCAGTGTTACAGACAGGTGTGAGCCATCACACTGATGCTGGAGACTGAACTCAGACCCTCTAGAAAGCAAGCAGTGCTCTAAGTGCTGAACCACCTCCGCAGCTCTATTCTCTCTCATTTATTTCATTTTGGTTTCTTAGTAGTAGGGATGGAAGCTGTGGCCCCTGCGCATTTGAAGCAAGTAGTCTATCAATGAACTACGCTGCTAGTCTTATTTTGAACCACAAAATATTATATAGGAAAAGCACACCTGCCTGAAACAACCACAACCAGTACTAGTCCCAGTAGCCTGGTGAGACCACCTGACAGGTGCTAGTCCCAGATGCCTGGTGAGACCACCTGACAGGTGCTAGTCCCAGAAGCCTGGTGAGACCACCTGACAGGTGCTAGTCCCAGATGCCTAGTGAGACCACCTGACAGGTGCTAGTCCCAGATGCCTGGTGAGACCACCTGACAGAACTTAACGTTAAAAGAAAGCAGAAAACTCAGATGTTTTAGTTTCTACCACTAACCTGGTTAATGGCTGTGTTGAACTGTACCACACCAAAATTTTTCTCTTGCAAAGCTCAGAAACAGGCAGGTGTGGTGGTGCACAGCTCTCACCCCAGAACTTTCAAGGTTGAGGAAGGAGAATCCCAAATTGGAGGCCAGCCTTGGTAACTGACAGTGCCTCCACAAAAAAAAAGCTTAGGAACAAACGAAGTGCCTTCCCTGGACATGCTGCTCAGTTACTATCACGAATATTACTTGGAGTAGTTTCTCTCAAAACCTGACGTTGGGCAGAAGCAAACCACTAAAGAGGCAGGCTACCCTTTAAAGTCTGTTCGCCCGTAGAAAGCTGTACTCCCACATACAACAAAAACTGGCCTTCCAGCCAGGAGGGAATCTGAAAAGCAACAGAGACAGCACATACATACATACATGCCAACAGTCTCGTCACAACACATACATACATACATACAAACAGTCTCGTCACACCACCCGCTGTCCACACCTACCTATTCCAATAGCCAGAATTATTATCAAAATTCTGAGGCACAATATTAGAAAGGTAAAAGGTTTCCGCCATGGCTTTCTGTGAAAGAAATTAAAACAGCATGTTACTCTAGGATGCCTTCCCTTCCAGAGCTCCACAAGCAGAGGCAGGCAGCCCCATATTAACACCTCAGCTCTAACAGCAGTGACTACAAGACAACTAACTCATCAGTGCCGGAATCACACTGCCACCCATCTGCATCCCCAACCCACTAATACTTACTTAGATAAACAAAGACATAATATTCCAGCAATAGAAAACTCTGTCATTATGCAAAAGAACAACTCCAGGGCCAGTGAGATTGCTCAGCAGGTAAAAGTGATTGCCTCACAAGCCTGTTGCCCCTAATTAGGTGCCCAGAGCTGGCATAAAGGTGAAAAGAAAACTCTACAAAGTTGTGCTCTGCTCTCCACATACAATCCATGCACACGCACATACACTATACACAAAATAGTTTTAATTATAAAAAAGACTAAGTCGGGTGTTGGTGGCGCACGCCTTTAATCCCAGCACTCAGGAGGCAGAGGCAGGTGGATCTCTGTGAGTTCCAGACCAGCCTGGTCTACAAGAGCTAGTTCCAGGACAGCCTCCAAAGCCACAGAGAAACCCTGTCTCGGAAAACCAAAAAAATAAAATAAATAAATAAAAATAAAAAAGACTAATCCTGTCTCAAAAAAATTAATGAATTAATTTTTTAAAAGCTGGGTACAGTAGTACATTCCTATCATCCCAGAGCTTCAGGGGTGAAAACAGGGGAGCAGGAACTCAAGGTCATACTAAGACATAGAATGGGCTCTAGGACTGCCTGTACCCCATGAGATTGTCTCCAATAAGAAGAACTATAATGTAAGTAGTTCAGTGTGTCTGGCTTTTCTTACAATTTATAACATCCAAAAGCATGTTTATAAGCTCCAAGAACTAAAAGTCTCCAAAGAAAGTGTGAGAGTAAATTTTGGCTTTAAGCCTCTGGAGGAAAGGTCAACCCTCCTGGAATTTTACTTAAGAAGTGTGGGGAAAAAAAAAAAAAGCAACGACAAAACATTTAGGTCAAAAGTGGCAGAGAAAACATCCTTTTCTCCCAGTTTCTAGCCACCATATATTCACTCACGTGGCATGTCTCATCAACACACACAAAGCTCTGCTTCCATGACTGTAGCAGACAGTCACCAACACACCCAGCTCTTCAAGGGTGGTTCTCAGCCTGACAGCCACTGGATCAGATAAAATGCTGCTTTGTTTCAACTTTTCAGCTCTCAAACTTTTCAAAATAGAAATGAGTTGGGGTCGGGGTATAGCTCAGTGGTAAAATGTCTGTTTAACATGCACAAGTTAAAATTAAAAGTAAAGAAAGAAGAAAACGAGTAGCTTGATCTCCTAGTCGCTTTTCAGCCCCCTTTACATTTAAAATTTAGTTTTCAAGACAGAGGCAGGTGAATCTCTGTGAGTTCGAGGCCAGCCTGGTCTACAGAATGAGTGCCAGGACAGGTTCCAAAGCTACACAGAGAAACCCTGTCTCAAAAAAACAAAACAACAACAAAAAAAATAGTTTTCAGGCTGGGCGTTGGTGGCGCATGCCTTTAATCCCAGCACTCGGGAGGCAAAGGCAGTCGGATCTCTGTGAGTTTGAGGCCAGCCTGGTCTCCAGAGCGAGTGCCAGGATAGGCTCCAAAGCTACACAGAGAAACCCTGTCTCTCAAAAACACAACAAAAACAAAAAAAAAAGAAAAAAAAAAAAAAAAAAAAAAAAAAAAAAAAAAAAAAAAAAATAGGCAAGAGACAGACAGACAGACAGACAGACAGACATTCTCAAGCTTTATGGTTTGGCTCCCAGATCACCAGTCACACATCCTCGTCCTCTCTAAAGTTGCCTACACTGGAAAACTTGTTGTTTCCTGCTGGGGCCATGTGTCCTCGTGACCAGCCACTTCCAATGTAGTCCTCATTGAGGGCACTGAAGGCTGAAGGGACACTGGGGTCAGGCTTGAATTTACAATGTTTTCTGTCCGCGTCACCTGAAGAAAAACACACAAAATGGTTATGAATGGATCCTCTAGGGCAGGCAGGTTGGCTACTGTGAGAAGGTATCACTTCGAGTAGCTGTTATTAGGGACCACATACATGTCTCAAGTTCCTAAAAACAGTGCAGATATTTCATCAGAGTAAGGCCTGGTCTAGGACAGGATGCATCTCCTGGAATGAAGGACCTCTTGTTATTCTTTTGCTTAAATTAGAAATTCGAGAGACGGACACGAACTATAGAGAGCACACTAACCAGTGTATTGCAGGGCAGGAGAGCTAAAGGGAGGAGAGGAATGGAGAACAGAGCAGGGCAGAGAGGGAGAGAGGGAGTTCTCGTATGCCCACAGCCCGGGAATGAGTGACGTAGTAGCCATGACATGGCCTCACAACACAGGGCCCTTTAAGCTGCCTAGGTAGCTGCCTGAACCTTTCACCTCTCACACTGATGTCTAGGGACTAAAGGCGTGTGCCACCACCACATGACCAGAGTAAAGATTTCATGCCAAGTGTAAGGACCTGAGTTTAGATCCCCAGAAACCATGTAAAGCCAGATGTGGGAACACACATCTGTAATCCCAGCTCCAGCAACAAGATAGAAAGTGGAGGCAGGAGAGAGAATCCCCAGAGGCTGCAGGCAAACGAGGCTGGAAATGGGGACAGACAAGAGCCTTGCCTCCAACAAGGTGAAAACCAGGAAACCTGACTCTGAGGTTGTCATCTACCCTGCACACACACAGTGGACCAGTGCAGGTCCACTCTCAAGACACATGCACACACATGCACACACTCACAAAAATTAGGATCAATTTTCAACTGCTTACAATAGGTTCCTCTTGAACAAGTACATTCTAAAGTCCCTGCTATGCTACTGGGTTTTGTATGTTTTGGAAAGGTATACGAGAATCCTGATATCAGTATTTTAATCCGAATAGACAATGTATGTTCTTAATCATTGTGTGTGTGTGTGTGTGTGTATGTGTGTGTGTGTGTGTGTGTGTGTGTGTGTGTCCATGCCACACAGCACAGCACATATGCGCTAGTCAAAGGGCAACTTTGTGGAGTCAGTTCTCTTCTCTTTTCATATAAGCTCTGAGACTCGAGTCAGCCTTGTGCAACCGCGACTTTACACGCTGAGCTTCCCACCAGCCTCACAACACAAATTTTACAGTGAAGAGAAATAGTGTACAGACCTTAATTCAGTGTAAATCACAAAATAGGAATGAAACTCCCACAGTAAGTGGGATGTGGTGGAGCATTCTTGTAATCCCCGGACTCAGAAGGCAGATGTAAAAGAACATAGAGGATTTTGTAAGTTCAAGGTCAGCAAGGTCATCTTGGGCTACACTGTGAGACCCTGCCTCAAAAAATAAATAACTAAAATAAGTTGATGGTACAGTAACTCTTTACTATCTTAAAGAATATATATATATATATATACACATTATATATATATAATGTGTATATATATATATATATATTCTTTAAGATAGTAAAGAGTTACTGTACCATCAACTTATTTTAGTTATTTATTTTTTGAGGCAGGGTCTCACAGTGTAGCCCTAGTTGGCTGAGAACTCCCTTTTATAGAGGCTGGCCTTGAATTCCCAAATACATCTGTCTCTCCTAAAATTAAAGGTGTGCACCAACACACCCAGCAACACAATTTTAAGAAGACCACCCCAAGCCAATGTGGTAGCATGCACCTTTAATCCCAGCATTCAGGGGGTGAAATGTAAGGGTCTCTAGGAGTTCAGGGCCAGCCAGGGATACATGAGACCCTATCATGGAAAAACAAAAACAATTAAAAAACAAAACGCAACCACCATCGCAACTTACAGAGAAAGAATAGCTCACAAAACACCACCTCTCACTGACAATAAATACAGTGAAATCAGCTACTAGACTGGGAAGGCTTAACACCACAGGTGAAGGCTGGGACCAGACACTCAATAATGGCAGTGTAAACGTCGAAAAATCTACTTAGAAACCAATTTGACGTTCATTATCTAGAGCTGGTGGTGTTAAACAATCTTCCAAGCCATGGAGGACACACAAACAGACTTCACACCCGGCAGCTCCAGCCTCGTTCCTTATCACAACGGCCCTTCCTGTAGATCCCTAAATGCACAAAGTCTTTTCCACACTGGGAAGACACAACTGCTTCTTTCTGCCAAGAACCCTCTTCTCCAATCCCGAGGCCCACCTGACGCAAGTCTGGGTAACTAACTCCCATCTCCTCATCAGGCCACTTTGTCAGAGAAGGAAAATCATCTCCTGTGACACCTCCAGCACTTTCTGCACTGTTCCTTAGTGATACCATCCTGACCTGCAATCAATTCTTCCAGAAACGTAGCTAGTAATCTTTATCATATGTTCATCATTATTTGACAGGTCAACCTGATTCCCCAGTTAAAATACCACAGGACTCTGGGAGGTGGTGACGCACCCTCTGAAGGCAGAGGCAGGCAGTTCTACAGAGTGAGTTCCAGGACAGCCAGGGCTGTAACACAGAGAAACCCTGTCTCGAAAAACCAAAATAAATAAATAACAAAAGGATTAGATGAATAAATGCCACAGGACTACAGACCATTTACTGCAGTCATGGCTACGTCCACACAACTCTGCAGCACTGCACAAACACACTTAGTGGGTGTTTATAAAGAAGACCTGTCGAGGTAAAGATGACGCTCACTGTATCAATCTTTATGATGGAGCCTTGAAACCCAAGTGTTCAAACACTGATGTTCTCAGCCCTGGAACAGTTGGGAAGGGTCTTGGGGCTCCCTAAATACTAAGCTTGATTGATCCATTTAATCAGAGAGCAAAGTAAGCTCTACTTTCAGTGTGTGCTCTGAGGTGCGGAGGCTGAAAATACTATCAACAATCCCCTTATTCTGAACTTGGGACCCTTTCACAGGTACCTGCACTTTGTTCCCACCACCTACCTATGATCTTGTCCTTGGATATGTGCTCAAGGACCCATCTGGGCACCCGCTTCTCCTGATCGTAAGACAAAGCATGATTAGTGTAATGCCTGGTCTCCGCTCCAGTTAAAGGAAATCCAAATTTTTCCAAGATAACTTTTTCTGTGGATTCTAAGAAAAAAAAATAAAGGAAAAAAAAGAGGGGGGGGTGAATAAAAAAAAAACAGACAAGTAATTAGTGATTCTTAATGAGAACAAAGGGTTTTAAAGACAACAGTGATATGTAAAAGCCAATGGCTCCAAGGTCTCACAGGGAGTGACTCTCAGTGCTGGGGAACAGAAGGGTCTAATCAAACAGACCTCATTTTTGCAAAGCCCTCCTCTGCCTATGTTGTGAATTCACAGTAAGCTCCAACTCTAGGGCTTGTATTTGGTTTGGGGAATGAACTCAGGGTCTCGCAAAGAACTGCAACAAGGCCACATTTCCAACCCCTTCACTTTCCACCCTGAAACAATCTCACTGCGTTGCTCAAGCCAACTGTGAACTCGCTCTGTGGCCCAGGCAGACCTTGAACTTTTGTTCCACCTACCACACTCAGCGATAACTTTTAAATAAAGACCTGGCAGGAGGTGTTCAGGGTGGAGGCGGAGCATAGCTCAGTGACATACCTGTGCGTGTACTAGAGGCCCTAGCTTCAATACCTGGTACCAAAAAGAAATAGGGACCGGATCTTGGTAGTTTTCCAAATCTGTCTGCACCTCAAACTATAAGGAGACCTCAAAGGAAAAACTATTAGTCATTGGTAAAACTGCATAGGAAGAGTCTCCATACTTAAGGAGACGAAAAGGGCCCTCATTTTAGTTTTACCATCATCATGGTATCTCATCTGCCAGGCTAAGTATTTATTTTAGATTTTCTAAAGACCACAGTGCCACAAGTATGCGAGCGCGCACACCTGTTACTCCAACAAGTTTGATGCTTGGCTGGGTCACAATGAGAAAGAAAGGACCCAAACTATCCCTCACTTACTGACCCTTTCCCAATGTCTTAATACAAGGACAGACTGACAGCTAGGCTGTAGGAAGGCTGGGAAACTGGTACTTTCTCCAAGTGAAAAAACAAAAGAAACAAAAAACAAGCACACTATGGTGAGCTGGTTACTGGAATAGTCAGTCCACTGGCACAATGGCACCTGAGTGTCCTGGGATGGGATGGGCCCGTGGGTACCCTAAGAACATAAGGATTTACACACCGAAGACTGGGCAGCGAACACTCCTCATGGGAACTAATTCCCTCGCGATAGCCAATGCTGTCAATCTGATAAAAACTAGAATCACCTGAGAAAGGCCTCTGGGTATGCCTATGGGGTGTGAGTAGGGGTGTGACCATGGTTGTATTCGATGATGTGGGAACCCCCAGCTCACATTCCTCCCTGTTCCCTGGCTGGGACTCCGGGGACCCCACACTGCAGCAGCTCGCATCCCTCCCTGTTCCCTGGCCGGGGACCCCGCACTGCAGCAGCTCGCATCCCTCCCGGTTCCCTGGCCGGGGACCCCGCACTGCAGCAGCTCGCATCCCTCCCGGTTCCCTGGCTGGGACCCCGGGGAACGCTCGGGACGGGGCGGTAGCGCCCGCAGACTCACCGTGCTGCTCCGGCTTCGGCTCCGGCTCCGGCTCCGTCGCGTCCCGACGCGGGAGGAACTGCAGCGCCGTCAGCCCCGCTCCCGCGGCGCCCACCACAGCCCCGGCCAAGAAGCCGTTCAGAAACTGCCAGGAAGCCCGGAAGCGGGACGCGAAGCTCTTCGCAGCCATCGACCCTGGGACGCCAGCACTTGGGCTCTGCCGCGCAGGCGCACACCGGGGTCCGAAGCCGGAACCGGCCAATCGCAAGCCCGGGAACGAGGCGCGCACGCGCGATCTGGAGCCGCCGCCCGGAGGCCTTCGCGGCTC